ATGGTGATTACGGAGTATAGGGTATCAGTGATAAATGATGGGAAGGAAAGACAGAGAGGAAAAACGGGGAGAAAGGAATAAAGGGAATGAGATAGAGAGACAGAGAATGAGATAGAGAGATAATGAGATAAGATACCAGTGAGGGATAATAAGATCGAGGAAAAGAGAGAGAGAGAGAGAAGGAGAAGAAAGATAAGAGAGAACAAAAAAAAGAACTGTACCCCTCCGTAAACTCCTGGACATTTCCTTGGCTGAACGGTTCAAGACGGCATAATGACCACGATAAGACCCGGGATCGAGCTCTTATCGAAAGACGCCTCCCCCCACCCCCCACCACCTCACCCATTCCCCCACTCCCTCGTATACTCCCTTAATCTCCCCTTACATCCACCCCCTCCCGCTGGAGACTTTGTGGGAGGGGAGGGAAAAGGAGGAAGAAGGACTGCCATTAATTATAGATTGAGAAGGGAAGGGATAATTTTTTAAAGAGTTTTACCCCCTTTTTACCCTGTGAAGACATATGGAGGGGGGGGAGGAGAGACACACAGTACACACTGCCACACAGTACACAGTACACAGTACACAGTACATAGTACACACTACCTACACTACACATAGCAGTGGTAGTAAAACCAATAAGAGAACAGGGAAAATGCGTTCACGAAAAAAATTTAGAATACAGTGATATAATTAATTTAAGAGAGAGAAAGACAGGCAAACAGCTAGTCAGCATTTGTGTCTATCAGGTAAGGAAGGAGAGAGAGAGAGAGAGAGAGAGAGAGAGAGAGAGAGAGAGAGAGAGAGAGAGAGAGAGAGAGAGAGAGAGAGAGAGAGAGAGAGAGGTTGTAGGAGACGGGGACCTGGGAAGCCTGAATACCAGCAAGGACATTCTCCTGTCTCTTCCATGTTCCATTCTTTTCAACCAGAGAGACTGCAACAATTGATGCCTCTAGTCTGGAAAGAGGAAGGAAGAGGAGACGAGGAGAGATGAGAGAGAGAGAGGGGGGGGGTAAGGAAAGCAGAGTAGGAAGGGAAGGGGAGGAAGATAATGGGAAGTGGAATATAGGTTGTATATTTGAGAGAGGAGGCCGATGGGAGAGAAAGAATGAAGTAGGAAAGAAGGATGACCTGGCTGACCTGGGCTGGCCTGGGCTGACCTGGGCTGGCCTGGGCTGGCCTGGGCTGGCCTGGGCTGACCTGGGCTGGCCTGGGCTGACCTGGGCTGGCCTGAGCTGACCTGGGCTGGCCTGGGCTGACCTGGGCTGGCCTGGGCTGACCTAGGCTGGCCTGGGCTGACCTGGGCTGGCCTGGGCTGACCTGGGCTGGCCTGGGCTGACCTGGGCTGGCCTGGGCTGACCTGGGCTGGCCTGGACTGACATGGGCTGGCCTGGCTAGCTGCCAGATGCCTCCCTCAGACGCTATAGGGAAACATATGTAACCAAAACACGGATATAAACAATTCACTCACTGGAGACTCGCCTGTTTCCGCCATCCGACGCGACCTGACATCATCTGACATCACTTGCGGCCACTTGGTGCCATATCCGGCACCGCCTAGCTGACGTCATCTGGCACTACCCAACCAACATGGCTATCACCACCAACATGGCTATCCCTACCAGTATCCGTTGGCTTTCAAAATTTGATATTAAAAATAAGGGGGGCTACTGAATTGAACATAGAACATAGTAACAAATCTATATAATTTAAACAAATTACAACTCTCCCAAACGACCATTGACACGTGCATTAACACTCAAACTATTGTTATGGAGAGATTTTAATATTAAACATATAAGTCCGGACTAGTTATGGCTAGACGTAATTAGTCCGGGTAACAGCAATGCCCGAAGAAACTAGTTATATTTGAGTTAAATATCTCAGAGCGAATAATTAGTCTATCTTTAATTTGAAATCGTTTAACGTGATAGACATCATCTGGGCTAATTGATAATGCTGTGAATGAGGAGCTTGTAAGCACCACCTTATTAGGGAGCCTTTCACTATCTTTAAATCATGCACCATAGATGATGATGACTTAATCTCAACATTATGTCAGGAAATGATCAGTTATGTCTCAAAATCTGCACTTCAATAATTATGTTTACAGTTGGTAATTTATTAATATTTAATGGCCGCCAGCCAGGGAGGCGGGCACCTGGATTTGCTTACATATCATTTTTGTCTTCAGCTACATTAAAAACCGTCTTCAGGAGCATAAATTATGACCTCGCGATCGGTGTTTACCTGTAACTCTGAAGTAATGGGATGGCGAGAGGGGTGGAACATTGGGGGTTCACTCGGTGCAATATTGGGTTCACTAGGTGGAATATTGGGGGTTCACTCGGTGGAATATTGGGGGTTCACTCGGTGGAATATTGGGGGTTCACTCGGTGGAATATTGGGGGTTCACTCGGTGGAATATTTGGGGTTCACTCGGTGGAATATTGGGGGTTCACTAGGTGGAATATTTGGGGTTCACTCGGTGGAATATTGGGGGTTCACTCGGTGAAATATTAGGGGTTCACTCGGTGAAATATTGGGGGTTCACTCGGTGAAATATTAGGGGTTCACTCGGTGCAATATTGGGGGTTCACTCGGTGCAATATTGGGGGTCCACTCGGTGCAATATTGGGGGTCCACTCGGTGCAATATTGGGGGTCCACTCGGTGCAATATTGGGGGTCCACTCGGTGCAATATTGGGGGTCCACTCGGTGCAATATTGGGGGTTCACTCGGTGGAACATTGGGTTCACCCGGTGGCTCTGCATGTACAAGCCAAAACGGAAGCATTCGTTAGCTTCACGAATGCTTTTGTTTCGTTAAACGAACTAAGTCTAGTTTAGACTTCGCCTATTGATTGCTTCGTGAGCAGAGAGACCAGATGAGTACGTAAACAAAGGCCGGAAAATGAAAGACCAGTTAGTCTACTTCCTTCTTTAGCATCCCAAAGACCAACTTGGCTTCTTTTGACTTTAAGGGGTCTTGGCATGAAGATAGAATATTTTCTAGAATTCCTCTTAGCTTCATGGTTGAGGGGAAGGGATGGGGGAGGAGGGGAGGAACCAGTTGAATTCCATCTGTTGGTTGGTTGACATCCAGCCAACCGGTTCACCAATTTTGATGTTCCGTTTTCTGTTCCCACTAAATGCCTCTTTGAGTTTACGGTTGATTTGACTCGATCGAGTCTTAAATGAGGGATTTATTCTGCGTGGTTCTTGTTTCGTGGACGAGGGATATATATTTCCTTCTTGTTCTAATCTTGAATGGGATTTATTATACTTGTTCTGCCTTGTCTCTCGGATTTATTCCATTTCATGCATTATTGAGTGTGGATTTATTTAACCTGTTCATTACGTAAACTTACACACACACACACACACACACACACACACACACACACACACACACACACACACACACACACACACACACACACACACACACACACACACACACACACACACACACACACACACACACACACACACACACACACACACACACACACATACATATATATATATATATATATATATATATATATATATATATATATATATATATATATAGTTTTACATATTATGAATGTCGGATTAATTTATTATTTCCATTTTCATATTCATACGTTTTGTCTTAATTTCCTTGTTTAAATAGTTCTTTGATACATCAATGATTTCTAAATTAGCTAAAGTAATTAATTATTCGATTCCCTACATTACCTTCTCATATTTTCTGAAATAATTTTAAATACAGAAACGCTAAAACGATTTATATAAAAGGAGAAAATACATTGAATTCCAGGGCGTTCTTAATATAGCCTACTTACCTAAAAAAAAATTCCGGTGGGCAGAGATTGTTGTGAAAGAAAACCAAGTGTATGTGAGTTTCTGTATTTGCTTATTTATTTATTTATTTATTTATTTATATATATACAAGAAGGTACATTGGGATTGTGAGGATACATAATATAGTAAATACAATCTTGTAACGCCACAAGTACGCGCAGCGTTTCGGGCAGAAACTTGTGCTTGATGTATCATGTGTGCGTTTCCTGCTTGTGTATGTATGTAAACGCATGAGTGTGTATGTACACTTATCTGTAAATGCATAGTCTACCTTGTTGTGGAGACTCCAGGGATCAACAGCCCTGCGGTCCGGTCTCCGACTAGGCTCCCGAGTATGATTATTATTATTTTAATAAATGTTAGTTATTATTAAGTTCATAACAATCAGTAACTACAATGTAAACCGCTAGTGGGCTCCCTCAGCATGAACTACCACACACCACCACTAGAGGGCCCAGCATGACCTACCAGACACCACCACTAGAGGGCCCAGCATGAACTACCACACACCACCACTAGAGGGCCCAGCATGAACTACCAGACACCACCACTAGAGGGCTCAGCATGAACTACCAGACACCACCACTAGAGGGCTCAGCATGAACTACCAGACACCACCACTAGTGGGCTCCCCTACACGCCACCTCTCCAACATTTATTGGCAATATCTCACCCCCTTAAACCACAGTTCCTTGTGCCAGGATGAATGTGAGAATATTTATGTCCCGAATTCTGCTGATCTGATCTCCCTCCCAGACGTGCATACACCATGACGCCCTTCCCCTCTGCCTATACGACCCTCCCCCCTTTTTCTTTTCCCCATCCTTTCCCTCTTCTTTCCCCCCTCCCACCTTTTCCGTTCCTCTCCTGCCTTTGCCCTTTCTAAGTGGCGTTGCTCTAGCATGACTAGGAGTGAACTAGGCTTGGCTTTGTGTAGTAAGTTTGTTCTAGCTTGACATAGGGTTGACCCAGCTTGACCTGGGGTTGACCTAGCGTGTCGGAACACAGAAAAGGATCACCCTGAACAGGATTCAAGATAACGTACAATTTTATATATGTCTCTCTCTCTCTCTCTTTCTCTCTCTCTTTTTCTCAAATAAAAATATTAGTAACTAATTTTGATGGTGAAGTAATTAAAGTATTTCTCCCCAGCAGGAACGGTTCTTGTCTGAATATGAAGTGAAGGGGACGACCGCCTCTACGATACGTGGTAAGTAGCCATCCATTGTCCCAGGTAAAGCCTATTATCTTTTTCCATCTACAACACCTTCCTTCTTTCCACTCTCTCTTCTCTACTTCTCTTACATCTCCTACACCTCCTCTTCCGCGCCCCTCCCGGCTTCCGGACGTTTTTCAACCTCTTCCATGGCTCACTCTCCTATCTAGTGCCCCTTCTATTTCCTGCAACGTCTCTCCCGTCTCCTTCAACCTTATCCCGCGTCCCCTCAAGTCTGCCTTCTGCTTTTCTCCTCCAAGAATCCTCCCATTTTTTATCCTTACCCGTCCTGTTGGCGGTGACGGAGGAGTTAGTCTCATACTGGGCCCAGAAGCTGGAGCCCAATGCTCCTGGTTTCGTATCAGAAATTGAAGGAAATAAAGGAATAAAAGTCATAGGGTGAGGGAGGTAGAGAGGTGGGAGAGAAGAGTGAGGAAGAGTGGTTTAGGGAAAGTTTAAGAAATGAGAGAGAAAGAAGGGATGTAGAAGATTAGAAAACAGTAGAGTAGAAAGTAAGCTGTCACCATCCATTCAAGTTAGTTAATTATAAGATAAGGAATGGAACTTGTCTGCACTACAATATTATCTGGTGTTATCACGTATCATCTATAAGCATGGAAATCATATAGACCAGAATCTTAAAGACAACATTTCTGAGTGCTCTCCACTCCAGCTTTTCCTATACATGATCTAGCGGTCTCAATTAAAAACAAATTAAAAAGTGAGTTAATCAATTATATATTTGCCATTGTATATTCAATCATATGTGTATCACAATTCAACCTTATCACCTGATATTCGAATGTCATCATTAATACACAATTTGACTCACCACACAAGAAATTGAGAGCACCTACGGCTGACTGGCCCTGGACATTACACAACCTCTAAGTGGGAAAACACAATGTACGACAACCTTACAATTCACTCACCAAGGTCTCTGAAACAAAGTTTTGTAGCGAGGAGGATGGTATGGCTTACAGTCCCCCACCCGGCCTGGGACGGCCTAGTTTGGCTGCGGGAACCTCTCTCTCTCTCTCTCTCTCTCTCTCTCTCTCTCTCTCTCTCTCTCTCTCTCTCTCTCTCTCTCTCTCTCTCTCTCTCTCTCTCTCTCTCTCTCTCTGGAGTAGTGGTCTAGTTATCACTGTCCTCAATGTCTCAAATTCCACGGGTACATGTGGGGGAACCGGGAGCTAAGCTCCGCCTAGCAGGAGATAGCCTCTGGCTATCTCCCTACTCCACCTAGACAGCGGCTTGTTTGATAAAATCACGCAGCCAACCGGCTGCAAAAATCAGCTTAGCAGAGAGCAAGGTCACTTCACACGACCTGACCTCTACTCAACCTGTGAATATTAAGTCTTGAAAGGTGTGACTTTTGAATTGCTCCGGGCCGACTGTCTGGCGACACCAATATCCTGTGTGACTTGAGTCTCGTTTATGTAAAATATTAAACAAAACACATTTATAGTGTTTCAGCTGCACCTGAAGAACGCCTCGTCAGCCACTCGCAGGCTACACACATCCACTACAAGCTGGATGATCCGGAATGTCTTACAAGGAACTTGTTCAGTTTTCCTCTTGAAAAATTCCACTTTTCGTTCAGATAGTATTTCTTATGTTCATACAGTGTTCACTGCTTGTGCCTATGGCACCTCTAGTACTTACTGGAGTAAAAGTGACACTGGCTCTATGGCACTTCTGCTCCTCACTGGGCGTATGGTACTTCTGCTCCTCGCCGGGTCTATGGCACTCTGCTCCTCGCTGGACCTATTCTGCATTTCCTACCGTATATATAAGACGAGATGCCTCTCTCGTCTCCTTTCCAGAGAGAGAGACTGTGAGTGCTTGAGACGGTTCCAGTAACTGAGGTGTTTTACTATGGCAAAGCGCGCCTTGTATGTTCTAGGTTCTAGACCCTATTGTACTCTGTTCCATCTGCATTTAAAGCTGTGTATCGAATCTACATCCACCATATCACTTCCTAGCGCATTCCAGTTGTATTCCAATAACGTTGAATTGTAAGGAAATATTCGAACCCTGTCCGAGTAGTTCACGTGCCCAAGGGAAGTGAACTATCAGGGAGAAAGCGCCAAGCCATTACGACTATATAGCACTGGGACGGAATGAGAATAAGGATTTAGCGTGGGACGGAAGGGACGGGAGGGAAGGAATGGTGACCAACCACTTGGACGGTCGAGGGATTGAACGCCGACCTGCACGAAGCGAGACCGTCGCTCTACCGTCCAGCCCAAGTGGTCACGTGAAGGAAGAAGCTCCAGGAGCCACCTCCATCCTCAATATTCGAAAAAGAAGTCAAGCGTTAGCATAGTTAAACTATATTCCAATAGGTACAAACAAAGGCTTGAAGGCGGGGTACACAGAATTTAGACCTCACTCCGCCATAGTCACTGATAGGTAACTACTTAAAAATGTAGAGCGCCCCCCCCCCTCCTCCCCCCACTCAGCCCCACACCCCTCACTTGCCCCCCCCCCCATTCCTCCTTCCCCGATAACAGTAACTGCCATCAACTGATATATTACAATATCAGTGGGTAATCCAATAGTGTCTCGAGATTGAAGACGGCGCCCGAGACGTAGATTGCCCAGTCGGGAAGAGGCGACGTCGACACACTGCCAGAATATCTTTCGTCTACACCGACGTCACCCGCTGGGAGCACCGAGGAAATAGCCACGAGTTTAAGAGTGAGAGGCAGAAGGGTCTCTCCCCTTACTCTCTCTCTCTCTCCACACACACACACACACACACACACACACACACACACACACACACACACACACACACACACACACACACACACACACACACACACACCTAAGAATCATTCAGAACTTTGTATACCACATATGTCAGGCCAATCCTGGAGTATGCAGCCCCAGCATGGAGTCCATATCTAGTCAAGGATAAGACTAAATTGGAAAAGGTTCAAAGATTTGCCACCAGACTAGTACCCGAGCTGAGAGGTATGAGCTACGAGGAGAGACTACGGGAATTAAACCTCATTTCGCTGGAAGACAGAAGAGTTAGGGGGGACATGATCACCACATTCAGTATTCTGAAGGGAATTGATAGGGACGATAAAGACAGGCTATTTAACACAAGGGGCACACGCACTAGGGGACACAGGTGGAAACTGAGTGCCCAAATGAGCCACAGAGATATTAGAAAGAACTTTTTTAGTGTCAGAGTGGTTGACAAATGAAATGCATTAGGAAGTAATGTGGTGGAAGCTGACTCCATACACAGTTTCAAGTGTAGATATGATAGAGCCCAATAGGCTCAGGAACCTGTACACCTGTTGACTGACAGTTGAGAGGCGGGACCAAAGAGCCAGAGCTCAACCCCCGCAAGCACAACTAGGTGAGTACACACACACACACACACACTCTCACACACACACACACACACACACACACACACACACACACACACACACACACACACACACACACACACACACACACACACACACACTCGTGATCACACACAAGCTAGGACAAACGGCTGCATAAAGTACCACACATAAAGTACTCCGCAACACAGGAAAGGAGTTGCGGTTGATTCCATAAGCGCCACAACCTGCTGAGGCTGCGGCTGCCACCACTGCTTCTGCTAGTACTGCTTCAACCTTCTGTTAATTGTACTGCAACATCAATTATTTCTTCTGTTAATAGTGCAACGATTACTACTACTACTACTACTATCGCTACTACCACAACTACCACTACTAACATTACTACCAATGTGAACAAGGTGCTCCCCCCCCCCACGAGAGTTCACTTCGCCTACCATAGAAATGGGAAATAAGGCCGTAAAACATTTTATTAGAATGTCTTATCGGGTCCTGATAGAGAAAACAGAAGCAGCACAGAAAGGGCAGAGAGAGAGAGAGAGAGAGAGAGAGAGAGAGAACATACTGTTTATCCTTGGCTTCTCCGAGGGCTGGGAAACTCTTCGATCCACCTCATCCTTGAGTGATTTATCCCGCTTCGAAGACGGAAGACCAAGAGAGGAGGAGGAGAGGAACGGGTTAACATTGCCAGGGAGAGACGCCACCGGGATACCTCAGAGTATGTTTCCTTCAGCCAAACCAAAATGTCACTGAGGTACTTGCTCTCGTATTGCGCGCATGCTACGCCTGGGGAGTTGACGCGCTCGAGGAGGAAGTGTTGATTGTTAGTTTGTCGGGTGAGTGTCGGGTCGTCAGTGGGTCCAGGCAGGTAGAAGCGTCAGTGATCAGAATAAACCTGAGGTGTGGGAGGGTAACATCTCCACTGGTGACTCTTCGATCGGATTTCCAGTGTTGGGGAGGGCTTGGTCTTTCCCGCTGGAAGCAGTAGCGTGAAGAGTTGAAAAAATATATTATAAGTGACTATTGCCTGGATGTGCAAGGGAGCCGTTTCAAGATGTCTTGTTTTTTTCTGTTAATAGACTCGTGTGTCTGGAAACGGTAGACTCGTCTGGTTACACAAGAGCGTTAATTTGATGGACTGTGTTGTCTCAGGAATTTAGAGAATCGGCTGCTGTGTGTACTAGCATATACACCCAAAATACCACTAAAGTTCCTATAGTAGAGTAGTGGCGGCGTCGTGTACTCTGTACGCTTCTGCCAGAAAAAAAAAACAAATGCAAGAATATGGTAGTGATTGCCACAGAAGAACCACAGGCTCACCATAGCCCGTGTTACTTGGAACTTTCTGTTCCAGGTAGCGAATCTTTAACAACAACAACACACAAGAACTGATGACTGTACCACGCAAGTGTGTCTATACCCCGCTATGTTAAAACAGAAAAGCGTGCGAGCTAAGTGGTACAGGAAGACATCCTCCACAAACAATGGTTCTGGCTCGTCCAGGAGACACGCGCCAGGTTTTGGCTGCTTCTCTTTGCGCTATGAAGGGATACAAATTATCTTTATCAAGGGATGAAAAATGTACTCCCCCCCAACTCTCCCCCATTTCCCTCCTTCCCCTCC